AGGCCTCTTTCATAACAACATTAATCCTATTCATGAGGGCTCTATTCTCATGGCCTAATCAATGGCCCCACCTCTTAATTCCATCACATTGGAAATTAAGCTTCAACATATACATTTTGGGGGACACAAACATTCAGACCACAGCAAATGGCAATTTCCACATTTAATTTGTTAATATCTCAAAATTTGTTATAATCATTTTAATGGCTACTGTGAAATGGCAAAAAAAAAAAAAAAAGAGAGAGAGAGGAAAAAAAACCAGAGCACCATAATTATAAACCTAAATGCATTTGCTTCAGAGATAAGTGGAGATTCAAAATCAATTCACAGTTGACTTATTCAAAGCCAATGTTACAGTATATGTTTACTTCCTAAAGTGGAAATAACAGATGTAAATTAAATTTAGTTTTTTGAGGGGGAGGGTTCTCTCATAGTTTACTATTCCAGATGAGGGATCCATTGCAGAATTGTCTAGGTATATGTTTTGCTATAGAGTATAAAACTTTGTGTACTTGGAAAAAAAGAGTCTAAAGATACTGCAGCATATATGAAATTTGGAAGTACTGATATCTGGTACCTCGAGTAACAGAAGATGCAATTGATTAGAGTTTAGTTTGACACTGAATGAGACAGAAAGTGAAGAAATAACAGGAAACAATCCTACACCAGGGATCGCTTTTAAAACCAAGACAAACAACAATATGCTCCAAGTATGTATCTTGGGATTAGTCCATATTCAACCTTAATCTCTTTATACCTTTGACAACAGCCACAATATGAAAAGAAATCAGCATCAGAATGGATAATTTCATTCATAAAACAAGCATTTACTAACCTACGTTTATCAGACTTTACACACTAGGGCCTGAAAACAGACCCAGGCTTCTTAGAGCAAGATTGTAAACAGCAAGGTTTCTCTAACTAACTCTTCACTGTTCGGATCAGTAATGGAGGTTTTGTATACACTGAATCAATCTCTCTACCAGATGTGGATAGGCAGATGGTGCTAATAAGTATAATCATAATTTTAATCAAAATTATAATAGCAACTACCATTTACTGAGCTCTTAATTTATGTCAGGTACTATGCTAAGTACTTTATATGACTTATCTAATCCCTGCTAAAAAACCCAGCAAACTAGATACTATTGCTACCCACATAATATAGATAAGAAAACAGATGCTTGAAGAGGCTAGAGATTTGGCCAAAAAAGGAGTTAGGAATTAGCAGAATCATAACCAAAATTATGGATGCTAGACTCCAGAGTCTTAGCTCCTCAAGAGGATTTATCAGCATATGTGTGGATACAGGCTAGCAGCTGAGGAACTTGGGAAGA